CAGGTACGGAGGCCGGTTCGAGTTGAAGGAGCCCGGGTGAAATTTATTCACTTCAAAGTGGATTTTTGTTTCTTCACGCATAAGTATTTTAGTCATTGCTCAAAATGCACTGTGACGATAAAGTGCAATATCATATGCAATAATGTGTATTTTCAAACATGATATGATGCAATCCAGTGTACATTAATGTGCAATTATTAAAATTTTATTAAATTACATATTTGACCCAATTTGACCATGAACTAGATTTTAATATAATTAAAATTTATAAAATTTCAATTAAATCCCTCAAACCTATCTAGTTTTCTTTTTTTTTTTCCAAAACGATAGATATATAAATAGAAACACATAATTACAAACCTAGATACAATTAGGAATAACCAAGCAGCTATCCAGCTGAATCTAAGGGAGACATACCCAAAGGTAGCCTAGAGATCTACCTAAACACACCCACAAACAGACAAACTACACAATCCCATACAGGAGAATCGAAAAAGTCCCATACGGGAGAATCGAACAGTCCCATACGGGAAAATCGAACTATAACACAGAAGAAAAAAAACTAAAAGCCAACAAGGCAACTAAAAACACTACACAACACCAACACTAACAACACATCAACACTAGATAAATAAGAGAAAAGCCCTCCTCCAACTGGGGATCAATCAGCTACGCACACGACGGCCCGACACCTGGGGACGAGCGTCCCCACTCACAGGAAAGAAACCCAGCCCGAAGGAAGAACCCAAAAACTCCTGCAATAGGCTAGCTGGACCCGTCTTCTGACCAAACTCCTTGCCCAAACGGGCCCCTCCCAGAACAGCAACCGGAGCATCTTCCCAAATCCCACCGACCCAAGCCAGACATGGCCCAACCAAAGCTCTCGCTGCCCAAACCTCCGAAACACCAGAACCTGCACAGGGGACAACGGAGAAGAAGGGAAAGGGGGTGACACCCAACATCCGACCACTCACCGGAGAAGTCGAAGTCAGCCGAACTCCCACGATTCGAGAGTTGGTGAGCCCTCACCCAACTCATAGACAACCGGCGGAGCGGCGAATCTCTACAGCGAGGAGGGTCATCGACTTCGAACGGGGAGCTCAGCTCGGCCCGGTCGGCGCCCAAGCGCCTCTGAAGGCCCAAGAGGAGGAGGCGGCGGCGAAATTAGGTTTTGAAAGAGAAGGGGGTTTTTTTTCTTAGGTTTCGGATGAGCGAGAAAGAATGTTACCTATCTAGTTTTCAAAAAAAACAAAAAAATCCCCCAAATTGAATTCTGTCTGTGATATTATACAGCAACCTATCTAATTCAATTGCGCCTGTGATAATTCCTCAGCTCCATCATCTCTAATCTGCTTTGATCTATGCTGGTCGATTTCTAGACTGTCGGAGGACGGTGATTCCGGCGAGCAGCGTCGCGAATCTCCAATAGACAGGAACTTCGGCGATGGCTCGACTGGAATGGCTCGACAATTTCGGGCGGCGGAGGCCGGTTCCAGTGGTCTGCTCTTGCGGAGGCGGAATTCTCTGAGATAGAAGCGGCAGAGGTGGAACTAGCAGGCGGCAGGGCGGATTCCGGCGATCTCGCTGCCTCCTTACCCATCTGTTGCCTCCGGAAAAGTTGTGTGCTGGTGCTGGAAAATTGGCGGCGAACGTAAGGAAGACGGCGGTGGCGGGCGGTGAAAGGTGCAATCGGCGGTGGAGGGCGGCGAACGGCGCAGTCGGCGGTGGCGGACAGCAAACCGACTGGGTGTGTGTGTGTGTGACCGATATTGAGTGACGGCGGCGACAGATGTGAGGGGATGTGCAGCGGCGGTGGAAGGAGGTGGCGCCAGCGGTGTGGCGGTGGCGACGAAGCTGTGCCGGGGAATGTGCGTGCACAGTGTGTGTAAAGTGTGTGCGTGAGAGAGACAATACAATGTGTGTGTATGTGTGAGTAGTGTATGTGTACAGAGCGTGGTGTGCGTGCGTGAGAGAAATGTGTAAAAGGAGTGGAGCCCACGTAAGGATAAAATGTCTCTTATACTCGAGTATAAATATTTGGGTTGATTTTTACCGGATGATCAAATTTGATAGCTAAGATTCATTTTTTTTTCTTTCACTAAGAATCATTCTCACTTGAACCCAATCCTCTTTATATATATATATATAATAGAGATTAAAATGATACCGAGAATTATGACGATACTTTCGTACATAAAAATTTGAGTACATAATTCAAAATTATTATTATTATTTAAGTATTTGAGTACAAAAGTATTCAAAATTATTACTATTTGTTTGGTTACCGTCCAATTTCACGCTTTATTCATATTTATCAATTTTTCAAATAAAATGGAATTTATTGTATATTTATAAGTTATAACCAAAATAATTATGTCTAATATACATGGGATAAATTTATTGGATACATGTGTGTCAGGCTATGAATGCCATACTTGAGCTAGCATTTAATTTGTTTAGTCATCAGGAAGTAACTTTCCAATAAAATAAATAATTTCCCCTAATGTCTGGAGACGACGATTCTCAGTTGTGAACATAGACGAGTTACTCGGTGGTTTTGAGAGTTCATCTTTGCATTTGCTAGCGGATGCGTACACTAGTGCTCCGCTCTGTGCAAAACTCATGAAATTACCGTCCTTGAGCTCACTACCTGCACTCCTCATGAAACCTATGGAGTCTTCATACATCTGGTGGCACTTGACTAGCTGAAGCCTTAGATTTGGATCGACCTTTCCGAACAGAATGAGAGAGTGGATCTTGACTTTGGTGCCTGTAGCCACGTCAGTTCCCATTTCAACCATGTCCTCCGCCAGCACGTAGATGTTCGCTGTTGCAGAATGAGGGTCGGATTCGATGATGGTAGCGCATAGGGAAGAGTCATGGGTCTGGCGGCATATGACTTCGAGCAAGGTGTCACTTGCGAATATTTTTAAGACTACCAAGCTTGAAATGAAAAAGTATATGTGGAGGAAATTATTGGCCATATATAATATATATATATATATATATATATGAATGTGTGTGTTGAATGATTGAGTGATTATGATTTATATGTTGTACTAGCACGTATATTGATCTGGATTTGGAGTTCTTATATAGAGGTGTTTGGAGGCTTGGAGCAAGACTTAAATAAATCAATTAAATTATTTAGTAGGATATTTAGATTTTTTATTTTTTTTTAGTTGTTACCATATAACAGAATTTGTAAAAATAATAGTAATTAGACAGGTGAAAGTTAGTTTTTTTTAAAAAAAAAAACTAAGGGATGATATTTAATCTCGTGAGATTTATGCAAAAGAATTTTGTAACATATAAGAGATAAGATTCTTTAAACTCGTGTAGATTTAACGGGTAAATTAGCGTGAATTAGGCATAATATTCTATATTGAAGATAAAAAAAAA